CACATACAGAGTCACACACACACATACTCACAGTCACACACACATACACACGCACACGCTCACACACACATACACACACTCACATGCACACATACATACAGTCACACACACATACACATGCACACACGCACACACATACATACACTCACAATCACAATCACACACATGCACACACACATACACACACTCACGTGCTCATACACATACACACAATCACACACACATGCTCACACACAATCACACACATGCTCACACACACACAATCACACACACATGCTCACACACACAATCACATACACTCACATGCTCACACACATACACTCACACACATGCTCACACAATCACACACACATTCTCACACACACTCATGCTCACACACATACACACACATGCTCACACACATATATACACTCACACAATCACACACACGCTCACACACACACAATCACACACGCTCATGCTCACACACGCACTCACATGCTCACACACATGCACACACATGCTCACACATACACACACTCAAAATCACACACATGCTCACACACACAATCACACACACTCATGCTCACACACACACACATACTCACATGCTCACCCACACATGCTCACACACACACTCACACACATACTCACATGCTCACACACATACACTCACAATCACATGCTCACACACATACACACACTCACACTCACAATCACACACACTCACATGCTCACACCCATACACACACTCACATGCTCACACACACACATACACACAGTCACACACACATACACATGCTCACATACACACACATGCACACACACATGCTCACACACACAGTCACACAGATACACACAGTCATACACAGTCACACACATACACTCAGACACGTGCACACACACATAAACACACATGCTCACACACACAATCACACACACTCACATGCTCACACACACACACACACATGCTCATGCAATCACACTCACATGCTCACACACATACACAGTCACACACACATACAGCCACACAGATACACACACAGTTACACACATAGTCACACACACATATACATACACTCAGACATACAATCACACACATATGCTCACACACACATGCTCACACACACATACACACATGCATAGAGTCAAACACACACTCACACACATACACACACTCACACACAGATATACACACACACTTGTGCACACACACACACTCACACACACTCACACAATCACACAGAGTCAAACACACATATACAGTCACACACAGGCTCATCCACACACAGTCACACACACACAGACTCATACACACACATACACTCACACACACACATACACTCACACACACACATACACTCACACACACTCGCACATACACGTGTACACTCACACACATACACATATACACTCGCACACATACACATTCACACACACACACTCACTCACACAGTCACACATACACTCACACACACATACACGTGTACACTCACACACACACATACACTCGCACACATACACATTCACACACACACACACTCACACACACACATACATGTGTACACACACACATACACACATACACTCGCACACATACACATTCACACACACACTCACACACACACACTCACACACACACACTCACACAGTCACACACACCCTCCTCACCAGAGCTGCTTCTCCTCCCTCTAGGCCCTGAGTACTCTGACCCCGGTGGGGCTCCGGGAGGGGTTGCCGGCCTGGGACTGAGCCCATCCTCTCCGCTGCCTCTGAGGAGAAAAGGCTGTGGATGGAGCAGCCCCTGGCTGGAGGGTGGGGGAGGACTATCTAAAGAATCGGTCACGGACCCCGAGGAGCCCAGAACCAGGTGGGAAGTGAGCCGTCAGGGGCACCAGGAAAGCCCCCCGCACCTTGACCTGCCAAGAGGCCCCCGGGTCCTGAACCACCTGGGAGATCCCGGGCAGGAGAGACGCAGCATCCCCGAGCTCTGGGTGCTCAGGAGCTCATGGGGGGCTTGAGCGCTGGCCAGAGAGAGGCAGGAGCAAGAGGGGGCCCTCATCCACCCTACCTCCCCCTGCACCCCCAGGGACAGGCGTCTGTCCTCAGCCCAAGGCGCCAAGCTCCTCCCTGCCCCAGGCCTGATCATCCTCCAGGCCGCTTAGCTTTCACCTCCTCAGAGGCCTGTCCTGACCCCCTCAGGGTCCTCCGCCCCCGTGGCACTCTCAAAGTCCCCCTTCCCTTCCCAGCACTCGTCACGGTGTATGATTAGACACCCATTCGTGTCCATCCCGGCCTCTCCTAACTGGCCCATCGACTCCTGAGGGCACCAAGCTGGACTCCCCCAGCTCCAAAGAGTGATGGACCCAATGCTTGATTTTCTCCCCACATCTGACCCTTTCTGAGTCTTCTCCAGCTTCATAAACAGGATTCCATTCTCACAGCCTAAGTCAAACACCTAGAAGTCCTTCTGGACAGATTCTTCTCACTCCTGCTCACTACGTCAGGGATCCCACCGGACGCAATTTCCACCCACACCCCACCTCCGTCACCACCTCCTTCACCACTAAACCGTCGCCCTAACCTCCGAGCGGGTCTCCGGGCCCCATGGTCCTCCCACCAGAGTCATCCTCCACATAGGAGGCAGAGAGGAGATGTGAAAGTCCAGTTCAGATCAGATCATTCCTCTTTTCAAACACTCTAGAATTCTCTTCTCATTCAGAATAAAATCCAACATTCTTCCCGTGACCTTCCTCACCTTACGTGACCTAGACCTGAGGTCAGGGATACCGTGATCACCACCCTCTTTCCCTCCCTCTCACTGCCGGTGGGCGGCCTGGTCGCTGGCTCTTCCTTGATGGGTCACAGCTGGGGACCTCCCATCATGCTGCCCTGTCCCCCCAAACCCTTGGGCCTCTTCCCTCATTCCTTCAGAATTCAGCTTGAAGATCACCTTGTTAGAGAGGTCTTCCTCACCACTCTTTTTTTTAATTGAAGTATAATTAATGTACAATAGTATAGAAGTTACAGGTGTACAATATAGTGATTCACAATTTTATTATTTTTTTCCCAATTATTTTTATTAGTTGGAGGCTAATTACTTTACAATATTGTAGTGGTTTTTGCCATACACTGACATGAATTAGACATGGATTTACGTGTTCCCCATCCTGAACCCCCCTCCCATCTCCCTCCCCATCCCATCCCTCTGGGTCATCCCAGTGCACCAGCTCTGAGCACTTGTCTCATGCATCCAACCTGGACTGGAGATCTGTTTCACAATGATTCACAGTTTTAAAGGTTATATTCCATTTATGTACGCATGCTCAGTCACTTCAGTCATGTCTGACTCTTTGCCACTCTATGGACTATAGCCCACCTCCTCTGTCCATGGGATTCTCCAGGCAAGAATACTGGAGTGGGTTGCCATGCCCTCCTTCAGGGGGGATCTTCCTGATCCAGGGATCGAACCTGGGTCTCCTGCGTCTTCTGCGTTGCAGATAGATTCTTTATTGCTGAGCCACCAGGGAAGCCCATATTCCATTTATAGTTATTACCAAATATTAGCTATATTCCCTGTGTTGCATAATATATCCTCAGAGTTTCTTTTATACATACTGTTTGTACCTCTTACTCTTCTACCCCTATATTGACCCTCCTCCCTTCCCTCTCCCTACCACTGATAACCACTGGTTTGTTCTATCTGTGAGTCTGCACCTTTTCTGTTATATTCACTAGTTTGTTACATTTTTTAGATTCCACATATAAGTGTGCTATCGTACAGTATTTGTCTGATAATCAGACTGATCTGATTTATATTTACCTCTCTCCAAGTCCACTATGCAGTTACAAGCGGTAAAACTTCCTTCTTTTTTATGACTGAGTACTATTCCACTGTATATATATATATCTTCTTTATGTACTCATTGTTTGATGGACACTTACGTTGCTTCCATTCCCCCATTATTCTTTATTTCCTTACCCTGTTTAATTTTGCTTCATTGATCTTATCCTCACCCACTAGATTAACATATTCATTGGTTTATTTACATATTATCTGGCTCCCTCTGCTATAACATTACCTCCATGAAACCATGGACTTTATCGTCTATGCACGGACTGCTGTATGTTCAATGCTCGAAACAGTGTCTGGCACATAGTAAATGCCCAGTAACTGTTGTTTAAATAATTAGAAACTCAGGAACACTTTGCTGAGAAGTTAATTAAATGTCTCTTCTCTTCGTTGGTCACTAAAACAGGCTGGAAATCATAGAAATAAGGAAAATAATAGCCTCTTCTTGGACCTTCCGTTCTAGTGGAAGAGTCAAATAGGTAAACAGTGAACTATAACAGGACAAAACCAAGACGGTTCCAATAAGAAACCCCGCAGCAGGCCCTATTAACATTGACTGAGCATGTGAATGTGTCAGGCTGTGGTGTTTTGTTTTGTTTTTAATTTACTTTTATTCATTTGGCTGCTCTGGGTCTTCGTTGCGGCGCATGAGATCTTCAGCCTTCCTTGTGGCACATGGAATCTTTAGTTAATGGCATGCAAACTCTTAATTGTGGCCTCTGGGATCTAGTTCCCTGACCAGGGATTGCCCAGGTCCCCTGCACTGGAAGTACAGAGTCTTAGCCACTGGACCACCGGGAAAGCCCCTGGGGTGTTTTCTGACTCCATTCAACTCTCCAATTCTCCAACCCCTACTGGGAGTCCTGTAATTTCATTCAACTTTGACACGGACTACTTTATACAGACCACACAAGCTAAGGCCTCAGTTCCCCAAGACTGCCTCTACTTCAGACGTCTGGGTCGCCCATACTTCTGACCGACTGACTATAAATTGGAGATTCCCGTGACCCCCTCTTCAAGTTCTATAGTTTGCTAGAACAGCTCACGAAACTCAAGAAAACACTTTATTCACATTTGTTGGTCTATTATAAAGGATACCACTCATAAGTATACCCATGGCTGATTCATGTTGATGTATGGCAGAAACCAACACAATATTGTAGAGCAATTATCCTTCAATTAAAAATAAATAAATTATATATATAAAAAAAAGGATACAACTCATCACCTCCACTTCCAGCCAAGTGGAAGCAATGCGTAGGGCAGGATGTGGGCAGTGGGGTGGGGCATGGAGCTTCCGTGCCCTTCCTGGGTGGGCTCCCTCCTGCCACTGTGACTGTTCACCAACCCAGAAGCTCTCTGAATCTTAACGTTCAAGACATCTTATAAAGTTCACTGTCCAGGCCCCCCATCCCATCCCCAGAGGCCAGTGGGTGGGGCTGAGACTGTCAACCCTGGGATCATTTGGTCTTTCAGGTGACCGGCCCCCATCCTGAGGCTAAGAGCACAACCCTCATTAGCATAAACTCAGCTGTGCCCAGAGGGATAACAGACGATACTCCTGTCCCTCAGGAAATGCCAAGGGTTTTAGGAGCTGGGAGTCAGGAATGGGTGGGGATGAAGACCAAATACAATACTTCACTGGGGGTCCAGTGGTTAAGCATCTACCTGTCAATTCGGGGAACACGGGTTCCATCGATGGTCTGGGAAGACTCCACATGCCGTGGAGCAACAGAGCCCATGAGCCGCTACGTAGCCCACGATCTAGAGCCCGTGCTCTGCATCCAGAGAAGCCAGTGCAATGAGAAGTAAGTTCACCTCAACTAGAGAGTAGACCCCCGCACCTAGAGAAAGCCCACATTCAGCAACAAAGACCCAGCACAGCCAAGGAAATAAAATCCATTCATTATTTTTTTTTAAAGACCAAATCTCTTTTTATAGTATATCACACAGGCACCTATGACAAGTAATGACATCATCAACACAGCCCTCTGAAGTAAAGATTTTTTTCACCCCATTGCACAGATGAGAAAACTGAGGCCAAAGCAGATTAAGTGAGTTGCCTAAAGTCACAAGATCAATAAAATGGAGAGCCTGGGATTTGCATCCAGCTTCAGAGTCTCAAGCTTTTAAGCATGACAGTCATGGTGCAGAAATTCATCCATCATTTCACTTAAAGGGTGAGTCAGATTTTCATGGAGACAGAGATTATGTGCCCCTCCTGTGGGAGGGTCTAAAGTATACACAGGTACCCCGTAGGGGGTGATGTCCGATCTCTGAAGGGAAGTCCTTAGAGGTCCAAATACTCATCTGGGTAGCTTCCCAGATTCATCCCTTCTGGGCTGAGGCATGAGCACTCTGCCATGAACCCTCAGTGTCACAGTTCCAACAGGACGGGCAGCTTAGCAGAGTCCCCACAGGGAAGTTCAGGACAGGGAAGAGAGGACAGAGCTCAGAGGACCACCCCAGAGAGTCTTCCTGGCAGGAAGGTGGGATAAGGGGGTGGTGTTCACAGGCTCTGAGCCTCCATGTCTTTCTAAACTAATGGAGCCCTGGAGGAAAGTCATGCTGGCATTGTCGATCCAACTATGGGCCATGACCTTCTCCACTGTTGTCCTGGGTCTGTGTTAGGCTCCTGCCTCTGGCATGAGCAGGCACAGAGCAAACTGGAAAAACTAACAATTAAATTCAGACATCCCAGGTGGGGCCTCTGACGGCTGGGAGAAAAGACCAGGACCTGGAACTGGGAGGTGCTGGATACTGTGAGCTCTGATTCTATATGTGTTTATAATCTCTCATAGCCTTTATTTTTTTTTAATTTATATATTTTTATCTTTTGGCTGGGCTGCAAGGCATGTGGGATCTTGGTTCCCTGACCAGGGATCAAACCCAAGTCCCCCTGCATGGGCAACTCAGAAGTCTTAACCACTGGACAGCCTACCAGGGAAGTCTCCCTCCTAGTCTTTAGAGACTATTCTCTTCTAGCCAAGGTGTGGAGCTCCTTGGGAAAGCTTCTGCCTCCCTTGAATCTGCTAGAAAAATAAGGACTGATGGGTCCCCGTTCCACCACTAGCTATGGTTTGGGGGGTGGATGTCTGTAAAAGTTCAGCTCAGAGAAGGTCAGAAAATCAAAATGGGACAACCTCATGCAGAAGTGAGGGGATTTCTTGGGGTGATTATTGAGAGTGCCCTCCTATCCCAGCAATATAAAGCTCAGTGGTTAAAACTGGACTCTGGGACTTCCCTGGGGGTCCAGTGGTTAGGAATCCACCTGCCAATCCAGGGCATGGATTCGATCCCTGGTTTGGGAAGATTCCACAAGCCACGGAGCAACTAAACCCCTCTGCCACAACTACTGAGCCCATGCTCTAGAGCCTTGGAAACGTAACTACTGAAGCGCTGAAAGCCCGTCTTCCACAATAAAAGAAGCCACCGCAGTGAAAAGCCTGAGCATCGCAACTAGAGAGTGGTCCCCACCTGCCGTGACTAGAGAAAAGCCCACACGGCAATGAAGACCCAGCACAGCCAAAACAAATAGATAAACACATTTATATTTACAAATCCTGATTTCCATCACTTCCGGGCTGTGTATCCTTGGGCAAGTTTACTATTCAGGGTGCCTCTTCCCCTTTTGTCCATTAAAACAGCCATCCTCACCCTGGTATGAGGACAAAATGAGCTAATTCTTGTAAAATGTAGTCGCAAGTGCCCGGCACGTAACAAGCCCTCAGTAAACGCTGGCTGCCCTGTGCTAGCTCTGGTCTGCTCTGGGCTTGGAGGAAGGGGACACAGATCGTGACGCCCCCATCTTCCACTCTCAGCTGCCCCTAGGGGAAGCTCTGGTCAATTGTGGGAGAAGAGCCCCCCAAGCCTGACGAAGGGGAATGGATCAACATTGCGGCTGGAGGTGAAAGACAGGCTGGCCAGCAGCTAGCACCCAGCAAAGGCAAACTTTGTCCCCTTTTTTTTTTTTTTTTTTGGACATTTTTTCCTCTATTTGTTTATTTGGTTGAGTTGGGTCTTCGTGGCAGCACGCAGAATCTTTGTGGCGCCTCACGGACTCTCTATTTGCAGCACTCAGACTTAGTTGCTCTGAAGCACATTGGATCCTAGTTCCCCCACCAGGGATCAAGCCAGGAAGTCCCCAGGAAAGCTTCTTTAGAGAGGGCTTAGAGGGTGTGAGCCCCAGGGCCGTTAAGGGGACAATAATGGCCTACTAAGTTGGAGTGGGTTACATTTCTGCCCTAGATTGGACTAAAATTTTTGATCGGGCCCCCCTCACCCCCCATTTTGTTTCAGGCAGGATTAATTCAGCCTCCTCCCTGTATCACGCTACCTTATCCCGAGTTCAATGACGAGGTTATCCCATGCGATCAGGGCCAGGGCCCAGCTTCCTAACCAGATGTCGTGAGGGTGGGAACTCAGTTTGAGTCATCTTTTTATCCCAAACAAAATGCAACACATGCAGGCAACTCATTCATTCCAGCCTGTATCTCTGAGAACACATAACCAGGAAGGTTTTTCATGGGGAAAGCTTTGAGTGGCTCAGAGAAAATAGCATGCAAAAAAAGGAAGCGGAGGATAAGTCCCCAACCCTGTCTCTACTGCTCATCCATCACCTTTCTGGATGGGAAGAGAGATCAAAAGGGATGACCAGCAGGACAGGACAGCATTTTGCAAATGTTTCCACCCCGCACCTCATTTCCACCTGTGAGGAATCACTGCCTCATTAAAAGTCATTTGGCCTTGATTCAGCCTCAGAGAGCGACTGTTGCAGTGGAATTCCTTTCCAGACTTAACAGTGTCTCCGCTGAGCAAAAAAAAAAAAAAAAAAGACAGGAGAGCTGTGTGACCCAGGACCGAGGCGTCTCCTGCGCTCGTCTCTGAGAAGTTTCCTGGCCTGGGAACAGGAGGGCCGGGTGGCAGACCTGCCTGTGGGCCGTGGCTCTCTGACGACCCTTCCTAGGAATGCAGGCCTGGCCCCTGCGCCCGCCCTGAGGAGGGCTCCTGCTGCGGGGGGAGGGGGCCGTCTCCTTCTCCCTTCCTCCATTTGCAATCACTATTTATTTATCTTTGGAAGTTGAAGGAACCAGAGCCTGCAACTGGGAGAGGCTTATGGAGCCAGAAGAAGCCCTTGTCTGGGCTCAGCGTCTGCCGCCCACACAAGGGAAAGAAACCCTTCCCAGGAAAGGAGGGGGGAGACCCCGCTGAAAGGCCACCGTGCTGGAAAAGGTACCACACAGGCCCGCGGCAGCAAAGAAGGCGGCTGTCATCAGAGAGGCCACTTTGGTGGCCCAACGGAGGACGGAGAAAGGGGGCTCGCCTCAGGGGTCCCCCAACCCCCGTCAGCCTGCGTCTCCACCGCAAAGGTGCTATTAAGTGGCAGAAAAGGCCGCCTTCGTGGGGAAACTGAGGGAATAGGCACACTGGGCCACACTTCACTCGGCCCTTCCGTCCCCAGCCGGGTTCCTAGCCGGCATTACAGCCCATCTAAGACCCACTGAGAGTTTTCGTCGCCACCGGAGTCGTCCCGCCCACTCACTCATTCGCAGGCCACAACTTGCAGTCACCAACTAGGGGGCGGAAGGGCCCCTTTGGACTGCGGAGATTTGACAGCCCAGGATGTCAGGGACTGCGTCCTTAGTCAGAGCCGCTCAGACCAGACCTCCTGACTCACTGCAGTGCTCTTCCCACAGCCAGTGGGAATCCCTGCTTTTGCCTTCTCAGTTCTGCTCATTCCCACCCAACAACCCACCCTCACACACACCCCCGCGCGCGCGCCCATGCGCACGCACAGAGATGTGGAAAAGGTAGGCCCCTAGATCTGACCTGCCTCGGCCTTTGACCCCTCCTGGCCCAGTGACAGGCAACCCCCGCTGGGCGAGGTCACCCGGCGGGTCCGAGAGCCTCCTTCGTCTCCAGCTCTTATATCCTGACTGGAGCAGGGCTGCGAGAGTGAGCTCCGGGCTTCCAGCCTGGCCCACCAGGTCAGGGGTCAGGGGAAGCCGAGCCTCGGCAACCCCGGAGCGGGGTACAAAGTTCATTCCCACCCAGGGACATCTCTGGTCAAGCCCGCGGGTCGATGAAAGCCCCAGAAGCATCGGGGTGCAGGCTGGACGGGCAAGAGTGAGGCAGGATTCCGTGGGAAGTGCTAGCGGTTGGCTGGGGTTGTCGAGAGAAAGAACCTCGGCTCAGGGGAGAGGGGCGGCCAGGAGACGTCCAGGGTCAGGGCGGGCGCGGGGGACGCGTGGGGCCTCCCGCCGGCGGAACGGCTGCGACCCGGAGGAGGGCAGCGGCCTGGCCGCGCATCGGGAGGCGCTAGGGCCTCGCGGACGGACGAGCTGGCGAGGGGAGGGCGCCCTCTCGGGAGGGCGGGCGGGGGCTGGAGGCGGCGGCAGCGGCGCCGCGCCGAGCTGCCTCCATCCATGGCACGGAGCGGCGGCGGCGGCGGCGGCGGCGGCAGGAGCCCGGCGCGATCCGCTAGGTCCCAGCCCCGCGCAGAGCGAGCAGGCGACGCGGAGGGGCCCGGCCTCATCCGGCCCAGGCGCACGGCGCCGAGAGTCGGGCCGCGCCGCCGGGGGCCGCCCGAGCCTCGCTGACAGCCGCGCCCGCGTCCTCCCCGCCGGGGCGCTCGCCGGACATGCCCCCGGGGCGCGGCGGCGGGGACCCCGGGGCTCGCCTCCGCCCAGGGCCCCCCGCCCCGCCCTCGGGCGCCCCGGGCCCCCGCTGAGCACGCCTCCCGCCCGCCCGGATCCCTCCGGCCGGCGCGCAGACGGGCCCTGGCGCTGTGGGTCCCCGCGGGGCGATGGGCTGATGGGTGCCGCGGGACGCAGGATGCGGGGGGCGCCCGCGCGCCTGCTGCTGCCGCTGCTGCTGCCGTGGCTGCTGCTTTTGACGCCCGAGACTCGGGGCGCGCCCGGTTGCCCGGTCCCCATTCGCAGCTGCAAGTGCTCGGGGGAGCGGCCCAAGGGGCTCAGCGGCGGCGCCCCCAACCCGGCGCGCAGGAGGGTGGTGTGCGGCGGCGGGGACCTCCCAGAGCCTCCCGATCCCGGCCTTCTGCCGAACAGCACCGTTACCCTGTGAGTACCCTACTCGGGCCGGCCGGGCCCCAGTCCCGACGAGGGCACGACAGGAGACCAGACGGGAGGACTGGGGAATGGGGGACAGAGACGATGCCACCACTTGAGAGACTTCAGGCCTGAGTCCAGAAGCCGAGAAGGGAGGCTTGGGAGAAGCAGAGGAAAGATTAGGGATCCAGGCGTGGAAGGAGGGAGGAAGGAGCACTGGGGACGGATGCACCCCAAAGAGAGGCACCGCGGTGCTCCCACTCACCTGCACAGGTGAAGGGGAACGCGCGCTGGCGGGACGCCCAGACCCCTTGGCTTTCTAGCCGGGGCTAGAAAGTTGCGGACTGGTGTTGCGGACTTCGGGGACCTGAGGTGGGTGGAATGGGAGGAAGGCTCAGCGGAGATCGACGCCCGCGGCCCAGTAGGTGCCTGTGGTCGTTACCACCGCGGACGCTTCCCTGGCCGCACTGGGGGAGTTGCCCGGGTTCACCCCGCGGGCCTGGATCCTCCAGATGGGGGCGCCCCATCCGACCCTGGAGCCTGCCAGCCGCGCTTGCAGCCCGTCTCTCTAGCTCAGTCAGGAGGGTGGGTTCGGAAAAATGCCTATCCTTGGGGTGCAGGCGCTTCTGATGTGAACGAGACCCCCCGGCGTCCCGATTCCTCTTGAGCCCCTGTCCCGCCGCGCGCATCTGTGAATTGACCTGTGCTCCTAGTCCTGCATCCCTTCCTCCTCTGTCCCTCCTCGGATATGAAGACGAAGTGTGGCCGTTTCTCGATTGACTTCGCGCACAGATTGCAGAGAAAGAAACCTGGCGGAGGGGAAGGAGGCTGCCTCCCAACCTCCCTCCGTCGTCCCGTTTCCCTTCTCAGCCCGGGCCTTATTAAGCCCTCATTGGCAACCGGCTCTGCCCGCCGCGCCACAACCCAACCCCCAGCCTCCCCGATGGGGGTCCGAGATCCCGGCACCCCGCAGGAGAATTAGCGACCGCTCCCCACCGCCGCGATTTCCTGCGGGGACCACGTGCTCGGAGCTCCACGCGCGCCGTGGAGTGGGGGCTCCGGCCCTGGCGGCTGCCCCTTCCTGTCCTGTCCTAGACCCAGCCTCCAAGCCACTTCCCCTTCCCTGTCCTCCTGACCCCGGTGGCGACCGTTTCCCCACCGCCCCTTGCCCTGGAGTTGGGAGCTGGCTCAGGGTCTATCCGATTGTGTCCAGAACAATACAGTAACGACTCTGGTTGGGTGAGTTCAGAGGCTGTGCGCTTCCTGACAGGACACGACTGGTCAGCCTCTGACGTTGGCCGCCTAGCCTGGGGTGTGTGTGTGCCTGTGTGTGTTAGTGGGGTGGAAGCCGTGTCTCTCTGCTCTCTACCGGGTTCCCGCCGCTCAGGGGATGGGGCCATGGCCTGGGAAGACAGCTGTGGCAGCTGATTCCCACCCCCCTGAGAGTCCACTGGTGTGGAAGTGTCCAGACAGGCCTGGGCATTCCCCAGCCCACTCAGTTCTGGAGGAGAAAAATGCTTGCTGTGTGAAATGGTTGGGCCAGTATGTCTGTGTGAGTCCCCGCTGGGTGATGAGAATTGAGCTCCAAGAGGGGTGTGTGTGTGTCTGCCCTGGATCTTTCAGCCCTGCTCACACACATCTGCTGAGATTAGGGCATCCTAACATACTGACGGCAGAAAGAAGGGGAAAAACATTAAACGTGGTTTTGCAGTACATCTTAGAATGATTTGGCAACTAATGCTTTCCAGCCATGGCTAATTCCTGTGGACGCCACTCCAAGGAGACAGAGTGGGGTGAGAAGATACATTCTCAGCAAGAGAGATGCTGGGTGAAAAGATCTGAGGACAGGTTGGCAGTCAACAGGATCCCTAGCTCACCTTCCCATCCCTAACCATCCCCAGAGGAAGGGCCGCCCACCTTTTGTCCCAGGCCACTGACCTACCTGGCTTAAGATACCTTCCAAAGAACAGTCTCCCACCCCTCAGCCAGGCTAGACATCTCTGCAGGGACAAGAGACAGGGCAGGCCAAGCTGGGGCAGGCCAAGCTGGAGCAGCCCCTGAGAGCCCGCTGGCCCATCAGCCCGCTCTGGGGTGATACTGGGACCAGCCATGGACACTTGCTTCAGAGACCACCCCACGGACTTCACCTAATCCGGATCCAGACTGCAACCCGTCCCCCAAGCTGGCTTCTAAAAGAAAAGAGCCCACATTCTCCTTCAGCAGAATCTGGGCACAGATTCTCTTCTGGGGGCTCGGTCCCCCCAGTAAACCCATCCCTAGCCAGCATGCATCTCGAGGGAAGAAGGGCTGGGAAGGGGCTTCAGCCACTCCAGTCTGGCAGCAAAGGAAGGCGGAGAGCACAGAAACCTTCACACCCTCCCAAATGCCTCCCTCCTTTATTATTTCCACCCCCCCCACCAAATTTCTCCTTTCCCCTTTCTGCCCATGACCTAGGACAGACAATGGACTCAGGCCAGTAGCCTTTGCATTATAGCTTTCCCCTCTCTCCTCCCCTATTTTCCTCCAGAATGCGCCGCCAGCTCTCAGCTCCCTCCACACACTGCCCTGCCCATGTGGGTCCTGGGCAGGCAGGGGGAAAGTCAGGCCTCTACCTTGGGAAGCCTGGCAGGCTCTCCAGGCAGAGAAAGTGCTAGATAAGGTGCCCGTCTGCAGCCAACCTCCAGGCTGATCAGGGGCAACCCTGTCAACAGAGCCACTCACCTCCGGGAAAACCCTTCCGCTCCCACCCTGTTATCTGCAGTCCTGCCTTCCGTTTTGCAGGCCCCTCTCTCCACCCTTGGCTTTTTTTTTTCTTTCCTCTAATGGATTTTCATTCGCAGTTTTTCCAGGAAAGTAGAACTCTTGGCTTTCTTCCTGATCCATCTGCCCACCCCACCCCCTAGTCTCACAGCTGGTCCAGGGGGCAGCTGTGGGCCTGTCCCCACCACCCCACCCCACCTCCAGCCCAGAGCAGGAGCCTTTATGGGCCTCCCTTGAGGGCCAAGTTCTCTTGGGGGCAGTGGCTTATCACAGGCAGGGAATGGAGACACAGACCACTGTGAGCCCCTGGGCAGCAGCTGATGGGCCTGCCCTCTGATTCTGGGCTCTGGGAGTTACGGAGATGGGGAGAGTGAAGGGGGTTGTTCAGGGATTCCACGAAGAGACTGATAATAGATAACTCTAGAAGGAAATCTCTGATGAGGACCTCCCAGGACCTCTGAGCAGGCCCTCAGAGGATACCTACCAGGCAGGGTCATAAGTTGCTGGGCCCCTGAGCCGAAAAGAGCCTTAGAGACCAGGGGTCCAGCCCCTACATGAACATCTGACAGCTGAGCAAACTGAGGCCAGATGGGGAGAAGGCCACATCTTGCCCAGAGCCTCACAGCTTAGCTGGCTCATGCCAGCATCAGGATTAGCTGGTGGGGTTCCCCTAGTGTTCCTTTCAGGTGAGAGAGTGTGTTCACCTGGCTGGACTTGGGAGCCAAAGGACACAAAGGCTGATTTAGAAAACCGAGTTCCTTCCCAGCAGGACCCAGGCCCCTTTGACCTGGGAACATTCCCAGGCTGGGTGGGGATGGGAGGCAGGCATGGGACAGGGGATGAACCCTCATCCACTCAGTCTGGAGGGTTGCCCACCACATAGGCTGCCCCCACAGGAGAGAAGGAGCCAGGGCCATGCAGATGTGCCTGGCAGTGGCGAGGGCCCTTGGCTGTGAGTTTGGTGGTCTTCAGAGCACCATGGGGCAGGGAGGCCCCTTCCCAGCCCTCCCCTGATCCCCTATCCCTGAGTGCCCTCCCTTCAGCGCCCCTGGCCCCAGCCGTGGGGTCCAGTTAGGGGGAGCTGGGGGCAAAGTGTGCCAACGGCCTGCAAGGAGCCCCGAGGGGAGGGGAGAGATGCTGGCTGGAGGGGCGGGCCCACGCGGCCTCCCCACCCCCTTCCCTTCCACCCTCTTTCCCCCATATGGTTCTCATAAGGTCTGGGCTCAGAGACAGCAGCCAGAGGAAGTGGCTGTGTACAGAGAGCTTTTGTGCGG